TATCACATTCACATTTTTAGAACAAAAATTGTTTGAAAGGAAATAATTAAAACTTGATTGATTAACATATTTTATCTTTACGAAGAAAAAAATCTAAAATTTTAAGTTTTAATTTATGTCAAAATATTTTTGTATATAAATATAATTATAATACACGCGTAGAAAATTATTTTTATACTTTTCGTATCAATTATTCATTTAACGACTCAATTATCTCAAAACGTAGTCTATATCCGTGAAGAAATTCGGTAAGCCGATTTCCGCAACAATTTCACGCATTTAGCCGGCTTTTCGTCTCCAGGGCATCTCAGGGTGTTACATTTTTAGTGACGGTACGAATAACACCTTTTAGGGAAAATATTTGTCGTTTTTGAAATATGCCGAAACTGAAGCCATTCAACTATGAGGCCGCCCGCATTTCAGAGGAGCTCCAATTTTTTTTGCTACCTACCTACCTACCGCGCTACTAAAAGATGCTCGGAACGGATGCACATAGTCGTTGTCGCCGTCGACGAAGTCGACTTTGTCGCTGCTTGGCCGCATTGTAAAAGCCCGTCGTTCATTCGTTGTTGACCATCAAAGGACCGCGTCCCGCGTCGAAAATCGTCCGGAACGAAAAAGAGAAGCCGACAAATTAGGGGCTGGACTAACGACGTGCTGCCGTTGGCTTTCTGTGTGAGAGCTACGTGGCCATTTTTTCAATATTCCTAGTTGAGGTCCAGCGGCGTGTGATGAAGTGATGTCAGTGTACAAAGGATTTAAGGATTTGGAGCGGTACATTATGAAGCTTATTTCACGAACATAAATAAGATGATAGCTATAAAAAAAGGGATCCGTGACCCCAATTAGTACAGGATTTATGTCTTTATGTAAATTTAATTTACAAATTTTTATTATTGAATTTCCAGGATTATTTATTAATATTACTGAGTTGTTAAGTATTATTTATATCCTGAAAGTTTCAGTTTTCTAGACTGTTCTTGTAAAATAATTGCAATTACAAAGTAAAAACATTTTTTGATTCGCCGTTCAAAATAACATTAAAATTAAATTTATAGTATAAAATTAACATTAAAATATAAAATTGACATATATGAATTTCTTGATATAGTTTTCTTATTGATCGTGTGAAAAATTGCCGTTTAAAATCATGATCGGCGGTTCCGGGACTTTGCCTGTGTCGCTTCTCAATCCCCCGTTTAATCACCGTGTAGCTTTTACACGTGATCACTCGTCCGTCGAGCAATCCCGTCAAATCCAATTTCGCCGCCGGCGATAGGCCTATACGATAAGATCTGACGAGACGCGGGGCAGACACACATTGTGAAGCGCTGAAGTTAATAGGCGATATAAAGAGGGGTCGTGTGCGGTAAAGGACGATCTACTGGGTCGTGAAAGACGCATTTAGGGAGGGGGACAGCGGAGGTCGCGAAGCATCCGGAGGTCTGGAAATCTGCACCTGGTCAGCGCTCTCCGGCGTGCGTGCGTGTTTCTGGAAAAAAAAATGGGGCGTGCAAGAGAAAAAGAGAAGGAGGAAAAGAGAGGCCGTGTTCCTGGCAGGTACACATAGATCCAACGATGCGATGTCGCCGTCCAGATGCGTCGTTGGGTCCTAACGAAACCTGCAAGAACTTGCATTTGACATTTCACAAGCATTGATTATACGGACGCTGGGCTTGTCCTGTAATTTATTTCGCTTCGTGCCGCTGTTGAGTACGACGCATCTCCCGAATTATTCTTTCAGATGCTTGTACTCGGCTCGGATGAGCGATCGCGAAATGGCTCTGTAGGATAGGATGGACATCGACATTCTGAGCTAAGCAGAGATCTTTATTGTACTCGAGTTCCGGAAAATTGCGGGCAATCGCGTAATTCGTTCGCTTGTTGTATTCATATAATTCTTTGATGTCGGTACTATTACGTAATTTTCTTGGAACTTTGATGAAATTCTATTTTTGTACTTCCACGTCTTATTGTAGTACTTGGAACAGAATTATGTAAAAAATAGATTTTATTTATTATTATTAAAAGAAACAAAAAATTTGAAGGACTTAAAAACATTTTTCTGCAGGAAAAAACTCGACTAAAAAGAAATTATAAGAGAATGTACGGAACTCTCTTAAATAATTTTATATCATACAATTAGTAACATATGAAATGAAATATATTAATTTCCAAAAAGCCAATTTACTTTATTTTAGATGATTTTTTATGATGTTTTTAAAGCATTTTCATCTAAACCTTAATCACGCTGCTATTATTTCTCAATAAAGATACGCACGAATAATCGCAGGGAAAAACTCTCACATGGTATGCGAACATGGCTTTGTTATCGATATCCTTTTCCCATTTACATTTCAATCGGCGTTCACAAAGCGACGCAGCCGATCATGCGTCGCAGAGGCGCATAGAAATCACGGAATTAATATCTCCGGAGATATTTTCGCATATGGGAATCGCGAATATAAATTGCATGCATGAAAATGCACCTCAAGCTATAAATCAAAACGACCATGAGGCAGTTGGCCTCACGCGAATATTGCTGCCGTATGCTTTTTTTTATATCGCGAAAATCTGGAGAAACGGAACGTCGAAAATTTATCGGAAGATCTAAATTGCTACGCCAAATGCGAATCGTTCACAACTACAATGTAATCGTCGCGTTTCGTAAAACGCGATATTTATAACGACAAATATTGTTCCGAGAAAAATGAAGATCGAAATTTCTTTGCTCGCTCAAGTAGAATTTTTATCTCTTTATTTTCACGATTGAATTGCAATGAATCGTACGTAACAATTTTTTATATTCGTGTAAATCTCATCATTTATGTTAGTAGAATGTTAATTTAAGCACGAAAAGTCACATTTGCGGATAAAAGTTCTCTTCGTTCCTTCTTTTATTTCTTCGTTAAATCTCCGTGTCTTGACAATACTGTAAATTTTTCAACTCAATGAGAAGTATCTATCCGTTTTTTTAACATTTTTATAGACATTCATTTAAACCACGCGAGAACGTATATTCTACGATTGATGGAACAATAAAAAGTTTTACGCGACGAGGCTCATAAAATAGCGACCGTAACGACGACGAAACGTACTGCTGGAGCCGTGCAAGTAACATTTTGAATCAAAAACAGGTAAAGTTTCGACGTGAAGAGCACTTTTAACGCGGATGACACGTGTATCTGTCAATCAGCGCGACATCAATCATTATCACGTGTTGGGAGAACGGCAGAGTTTTTTGTATACCCAATCATAATAAATATCGATAAATATCGATGTGACATTCATAAAAAGAAGCATAGAAAATTACGTGTCGACGAATCCTCGAGTGATATCAATTTTTTTACGAATCACAAGCACTATCGACGAGAGTACGAATAAAGTATAAGTGAACGAGAATGTATATTTTCAGGAATTAAAATATTCCGATAGAGGAACAATTTTAAATTTACGACGATATCGATAAAAATAAAAATTCGAGATATAATTTTAGATGATCAAAAATTACGAAACTAAGCCACGCGATACGAAGGCAATGGGCATAATTATCTACCGATTCGAGTGAATCACTTGCACTAGGCCCAACAGAATCGCGTAATTGAGTCAATCGATCACATCTACCGAGCGACACTGGCACTATCGACTGCTTCGAGCATACGGCGGATTACGTATCGTGATACGAAGTACAACACGGAATCGAAATTACTCGGGCGGCGATATTCCCAGGTCACACTTCGCTCGGCATATATAACCCGACTCCTCGCTCCTCGATTATCGATCAGTATCACACGCGTGAATATCAAGGGAGAATCGGGGAATTCGGGGAAGAAATGCTGAGGACACTCTGAATATCTATCTCGCGTATTCGGCTTTCCGCGGCACTGAAACATCTCCACGAGATGCGCTCTTCGAAGACTAATGCCATTTTCACTAATGAAGATTCCCTTTAATCTCGGTTCAACTCTTCATCTTCTAGTCCTAGAAATTAGAAAAAGAAGTCAGTCGAACCGAAATTAAAGTTAATCTACATTCCAAAACGTTCTCTTCGAGAAAAATTTTCCTCGAAATACATACACGTAACGTACATTAAAATTTTCCTCGGAGAGGACGTTTTGGAATGTAGCCCTTCTACGTTAGTAGAAACGGACTTAATATATATTTTCACCGATGTAGATAAACTTTAATCTTGGTTCAACTTCCTCGTCAGCTTTTTCTAACTTTTAGAATTGGAGAAGGGTGAAGAACAAGAGTCGAACCGAGATGAAAATTGATCTGTTAGTGAAAACGGGAGCAAAACCTTGGGAGAGACGAACGTCGAACGGAGCACAGACGGCACGAAACGAACGGCGCGACGGCTCGCGACCAAGTGCCGAGCGTGACACGCGAAGGGTCGCCCCGGCGGGCGCGGCGCGCTATTGGCTCGCGCAACTCCTACTACTCGGGCTTGCCCCTGGATCGGGCCAATGAACGCGCCGGCAGCCCCGTCGCACGGCGGAGACCGCGTGTGCACCCACGCAGGGCGGCTCGTGGCTCGAGGCTCGCGGCAGTCACTCAGTCAATCAGTCACTCAGTAGGCCCGCGGCGCGCCACGAGGTGGGATCTGCGAGCGTTGCACGAGTAGTATAATACACCGTGTGTGCGGGAGTAGTAACGTTATTTACTCGCGCGCGCGGGGGATTATCGTATACGGGACGAGAGAGAGAGAAAGAGAGAGAGAAAGAGAGAGAGAGAGAGAGAGAGAGAAGAGGCCTTCACCGTCGCGGCTCGTGCGCACCCACGCTCTCTTCCGTGGCACTTCTTCCTGAATCCTGGCTACGAGCGCATCCACGTTCGCGTTGATGCTCGCTATCGGCACAAGCGGATCTGCGAGTCCGAGCGGGCGAACAGCGTCTCGCGCACCGTCGCGTCGCGTGGGACGTCGCGTCAAGATCGCGTCGTCTTCACCACCGCCGCCGTCGTCGTCGTTATCGTCGTCGTCGTCGGCGCGGTTCGTCCGGATGTCTTGGCCGAGCTGAGAGGACGTGTACTCTCCGTCGCGCGGAGTGTCGAGCCTACCAGCTCGCGGGGTGTGTGCTACTATCGGCGAGGTGATACCAGCGGCCGCGCGGGGAACGATGTGCGTGACAGCCATGCCGTTAAGTGCGACGAAGATACTGAAGGATAGCGCGAGCCGGCAGCCGGCGAGGACTACTATCGCGACTAGTGCACAGGTGCAAGGATTAAGCGGCGGCGGCAACAACCGCAACAGCAACAACCACCATCACCACAATGCCGGCGAGCCGACCAGACCGCAGCACACGTCGATCATGTAAATATATCGCTGTTTAATTCTTCTCTTCTTTCTCTGTACCGGCGACTCAGTCCCGCGTGTCTCTCCACGCCGATCGTTACGATCTTCCTCGAAGACACGCGGGTAAGGACGACGAACTCTCGTCGCGCGCGAGATCGATATATCGTCGCGTTCTATAATCCTTCGAGTGTCAAGGCCGCGACGACAGCGAAAAGTGTCGCGAGTGTCATTCTAACCTAAACTTCGCGACCGAGCTTCTCGATTTGACATTACGATATGTAATACGAAATTGTGGCACGTAATAATACGTGGATATTCCGACGGATGATAACTTTGGGAAACGGAGAGTCGTCCTTGTCAAGATTTCTGTTGAACATAAACTAGCAGTAACGTTACGTCAATGGTATAATTTACCACTCAACAATCGAGTGTAACACATGTTGTATATAATAATTACATTGTTTAGTAGAAAACGTTGTAACATTGATGTGTAATTGCTATTATTTTGTGTTCAGCTGGTTATTTATTTACAAATAACGATACATTTTTTGTGATACGATGCAATTAGATTAGTCGCCGTGATGCTTTAAACGAATGTTTACGGTATCAGTCGCGGGATTCGCATTGAAAAGATTAGTCGCGTGTTTGACATACAATACGTTGCGACCGATAACCAAACAAATACTGCTCGAAATGTCAACAAGAATAGTAAACGACGTTGCTCGACTGGTCTAGTCGACCGAAAGTGGAGAATTATGCATTTATTTTCGATTCGCGCGACGGCAGTTTATTAACAATTTTAGGAATATCGTTTGCTCTTTCTTCATATTGTCTAAATTTTTTAGAGTGAGATCTATAAGAGTGAAAACAAAGCCAATCTTGAAAAAGCTCAATTTTCAATTTAAAAGTGAGTGTTCACTCTTTAGAGTGAGATTTACTCTTACCTTTCTACAATAAATCATTAGTTGCCACTAATACCATATTAGTAGTAAGTCAGAATTATGAATCATAAATCTTAGGAAACTTACATCTAAAATAAATCATATTTAGATCATTACGTTACAATTTTAACCAATCAGAAAGATAATAGTTCTTCAAATAACAATACATTAAATGATTATAGTAAATCAGTCAAAAACATAATCTATCGTTATATTAAAAAAAGAACATGTAAGAGATTTAATTGTTGTCGCGATGCTGATTGGTTCTTCCTCACTTGGCTCATTTCGTGCTGCAAGAGTAACTGTCGGCATCAAATGTTTAGACAGCTCACAAATATTATATTTTCGTGATTGATCTGTATACTTGTGTACTCGTATATTTGTATACTTTCTGTATAAGTATATAATATCAAAAATTATAAATATCGCCCTGTGTTTAGTGTTTTAATCGTAAGAAATGGAAATTTATCCATCTCTACGCAATCATTGATTGCTGACTTATTGTTCTCTTATGACTTGTGATGTTACTGACTCGCTTACAACTCGCTCTTGACATCTGATTTATCTACTCTAAATTTCTTGGAATGAAATCTTCAAAAGAGTTAAAATACTGCCACTATTGAAAAAGAGTGAAAAATTTACACTCTTGAATAAGAGTGGCAGATTTTATCGCTTTTGGAGTAAGATTTTCGGAGTGTGAGATTCATTCCGAAAAAGGCGTGGGATTTCTTTCCTTTGAAATGAATCTCACTCCAAAAAAAACAAAAGAGTAAAAATCTGCCACTCTTATTCAAAAGTGCAAATTTTCTTCAATAGTGGCACAGTATTTTCACTCTTTTGGAGTGAGATTTCACTCCAAAAAAAGAGAGTATTACTAACAGCTTATTGTGTAGAAAGCCTATATATAAAAGTTTTAGAGAACAAGAGATCGAAGAAAAATTCTGATTGAGAAAAAAAATATTGTCCCTGCCCCGTATCTTTCAAATGAATTATTCAGATTTTAATTGCCGCGTATTAACATTTATATTGTTCTTCGTTATCCTTTCGGGAGTCCGCTGAATTTTCTGCCGCGCGTATCGATTAACGATACATCGCGAAACGCGCGCATTCGTTCGCCTGTACGTCCCCTTCAATAATTCACGTAGCACCTAAGCTTATTACTCGGCCGATTCACTGTGGATTCGTAAATCTCTTCGATATATAGTTGGATCGTTCCGAGCGCGTGCCACTCGGTACTCCGCTGTCCTCCGGCTGCAAATTTGTCTCACACTTTCCTGCGAATCGCGAGGAATGTCTTTGGGGGAATATTTTCTCTCGATAGCGTGAGAAAGTCGATTGGCTTCGCCGTGTGCCCTGGCGACGGATCTCCGGAATATTATCTGTAGCGGAAACTGGCGAGAAACGTGTTCGCATTTCTAACGAAACGCACAAACAAGTTTTTTTCCTTTTTACTCATTACATTTTCATCTACCACGCAAAGAAGAAATTTACTTTTGTTTGTGCGTCACATGTGTCTCATTAAAGAAAATTAACACTAGAATTAACACCGAAATTAATACTAGATAGTTTTAGCTCTTTTAATTATTTTAATTTTTGTCTTTTTTTCTGTATTAAATATACAGTACAGACTATGGGAATATGTGAATATAATACAAACAATTCTAATGATATAAATAAAATCCAACTAAATCTTCATTAACCGAAAACAAAGATAGGAAATAATTACCAAATTGGCAGTTTCGATAATTCTAGCGGGATACCGTCGGAACTGACATGACGGTGGTCTGCTTGATCCACTTATTTATAAATCTCTGTTAAAAATGTTAAACATTCAATTATTTCATATTACATCTTCAAATTTGAATTATTCTTATTAAAATATATTTAACATTCATTCTTTTCTATACGAATTATGTCATGTTGCTTTTTTTGGAATTAATTAGTGTCTTTTAATTAACTGGGTATTAAATTAAATGGGTATTACAAACTTAGCATCAATAAATAGTATTACAGACAGATTTTAATGTCAGCTCCGGAAGGTTAAAACCGCGACGCGTTGATGGGGAAAATTGTGGCAACGATTTTGTGTGTAAAACGTTGAAATTATTTTACCCGCGACAAGAGAATTGTGTACAAGGCGTCGGGTCGGATTTGCGCCTCGAAACTCTGCATCGAAGGTATTAAATCTTTATAATCAGCATTGCGGTGCATTTCGTGATTTAATTTCATGGTAGTAATTGCGCGTAATTCGTTAATCATAAATACGGTCAATATCCGCTTGCATTGATGTTTATTTCATTTCTATACGGGTAGGACTAATTAGCCGCATTTGTTTAATAACATATAACTCGTCTCTCAATGATAATCTTCAAATAGTCGTGTCGTCGCAGATTGTCAAACTGCCTATAATCTCGCTCCAAACGTGAAATATGCAATCGAATCGATCCCTTTTTCTCCAACGTTTTAAATTCGTGATGATATGAATGTTGATATCATAGAAAATCGAAAAAATTACTTTCAAAATTCGTGTATGTACGTTATTTCACGTTCAAGCGTTAGCGCGACCGAACGTGTCGCTTTCCTGTATAAATGGAAAATGCAAACACCAGAATCAAATTTCTTGGATCGCCTATCTGTCTCCAATATCGAGCGGAAGATAAACGCGAAAAATTCGTCGGCGACAACGTTCCACATGTAATATGCATATGAACATGTGTACGAACAATGCATGTGTAACGCGCGGATTGAACCTATATATGTATATAAATTGATAAAATAAATCCTATAATTCGCAGTTATTATAATCGGCTTGGCGATTGTATCGCCACGAGATTGATCAATATTTTCGTTTACTTATGCGACGGATTCTCGTGTTATTCGAAAAGTACACGACCTCGAGGTCACCGTATGTTCTTTAGACGTCATGTCTGTCTCGACCAATTCGTGGAAGTCGTGCGAAGAAACGATTAAAATATACTCTTTACATGTGCGCCGAGTTTGTAATTCTATATTTTGTCGATTAAACACTTTAACTGCTGAGCTAATTTCGTCATTGAGCTTAATAAATTTATCTTATTTATATATATATTATTTTAGTATATTATATTACTTTATGATCTTTTTAATATCTTAATATTTATATGTTATCTAGTTAATATGATTTATATAATAAAGACAATTAAAAGAATATTAAAAGTCGGCGCAGAAAACAGTGCACAAAGTACCTAGTTAAAAATATTTTAATAGTTATATGTTATATTCGACGTCACTTTGTCGAAATCACAAATTAAATTGATGTCGATTAATTATTATTAAAGTATTTTTTATTAGATATTTTATTAGAATTGTTTGTTGCGCTGATTCCTAATACTCCTTTAATTATTTTCATTAAGTTTTTTTGATAAGAGGAATCTCTCGTCTATTTTTGATTAATAAATTATATTATATTTTAAATATCTTATTTTAGTAAAATTAATCTTATGCCTGTTTCTACCAATGTTATTTAATTTTAATTCCAATTCAACTCTTCATCTTTTTCTAGGAATTAGAAAAAGATAAAGAATAACTTGAACCGAGGTTGAAGTTAATCTATGTTGATAGAAACGAGCATTAATATCGGATAAATAAAACCGTCAAATAATGAAAGCTTTATGAAAATTTATGCGTCACCTAGATAACATGACACAATCAAAATTAATACAGAATTTCGGTGTAACATGGACGAAGTTAATCCTCTGTCTGCAATCTGGGAGTTTTTTGTTCGATCCAAGTTTTTTTATTGTTCGAAGTTTTAAAAAAATGTGAAAAAATTCAGAATTACTTTTTAACATCTCTATTACGTAAATATTACAAGATATTTTAAGAGAGAGAACAGACTCCGCCTTTATTTCGTCCTCTTTATTTCGGGGAAATTTGGGAATGAAATATTGCTTGTGCTAAAAAAGATTCAAATTAGAGACGAAGGATTTAATACCGAGATGCAAAAATGTACTTTAATAAATTGTAAAAATTTATCTTGAATATCGTACGTTTTTATAAATTCGCCGCTTTTTCGAGACGAATCATTTACAAACGTGG